GATGTAAAAAATCCGTTATTGCTGTTACGAAAGCAAAGTACTGAAATTTCTGTTGTATTCAAATGCCTTTTGATGACGAAGCATATCTTAAAATATCTGTAGCGTTTCTTGACAGGTGTTAAATTTGCAAACATTTGGTACTGAGATTTCGGTGTAATTTTATTAAAGAATGACCATTTCTGAGATGTTTGGCTGTAAATTGGCTTATCTTCATCTTCAGTTTTGATAATAGAAGTGGGAATTGGTTTACTTCAAAATGATCCGTTCTCAAGCGCTAGAGTACATGGTGACCATGGTTACCGTGTAATGCATTTGCTTACACAACTCATTCTCATTCTATTTAAGGAATTTAGTAGTCTTTACTTTTCAAGAAGCTTTTCCCAGTAATCTTCATTAATTGTGATGAAAATTCATAATTCCATTGAGTACCATTATTCCAGTAATGATATGTTGTATCCTGCTGAGTTTAATTGCACGGGGATGGAGGATATCGATAGTTTTGTGATTAGAAGGATTAAAGGGAAGGTTGGTGAATCAAAAATTTTATCGTGTTGCATTTCTCTCTTGTTTCAAATCTTTGGAACATAAAAGGAGGCTATCAAAAAGTCAAAAAAGATTTCTTAATGTTTTTTTTTTTTGAAAAAAATGTTTTTCAAAATTTACTATTCGATGTTCCAAGTCGTTTTAGATGTATCGGAATTTCCTTGTATCATTTCTGATTCTATTTTTCAGGTTTTAAGAGCTAAAAAATTTGAATCGTCTTGATATTCATGAAATTTCAAATTCTAAACAATCTGTTTAATTACACATCTAATTGTAGTAGACACAAAAATGCATTCGATTTTCTTGCATTTGGTAAAAAATTTAATTCTTTAGCAACTTCTTTCAGGATTTTTATAAACTTAAATTTTGTTAAATTTTGGTAAATTTTCTGAATTTGTTGCAAAAATAGCATGGGGGAATGGAAGAAGACAAGCATATCCAGTCTAAAAAGCAAATACTAAGCGTATTTAATTAGCCTATTCTTCAGTTATTTTCATCTTGATTGTTGTATATCAGAAGCAGTAAACAAATTCAGTCCAATCCTAATATCGAAGTACAGATGTGGAATCGCGTCAACAGCAAACTCCAATCGAACAATTTTAGAAACTCTCACTTATAGTGTACACAGAACATGAGCAAATGTTTATGAAAAAAGAGAAGCCGGCAATAACTGCTAACAAGCTTCTATCTGGATATCCGGCATCAGATAGCTCTGAACGGAAATCACTAGACGGTTTAAATATTCGCACAATCCAGAAATCTATCCTCGGTATTTCTTTTCCACTGAACATCTCAGAGCATACCTCGAACGATATCCAGACGGTGTCTTAAGATCATAGTTTTGATATCATTTGATTTCTTTTTAAAGCTTTCTAGAAAGCTTATATTATGGAAAAAAATTTTTTTTTCAATTCTGTGTATTATGAAATTAAAAAGAAAGGATTTCAGGGAGTGCTCAACGTTTGACTGATCCCGAGTTAGCCACAACATGTTCTGAACAACTTCAAGTAAATAATAATTTACATTTCATAGACGTATTGAATCTAAGAGTTTTGCAATGTTAGTTACTTTTAAACTAAAGTTAAGTACAATTTCATCCAATTTCCGAATGTGCCTTACGCTTACAATATCTCTGAAAAAAGTTATAATTTAATAGAGCAGATTAATATCACTACAAATTAGCTTGGTGTTTTCGCTATTCCATATTATAATTTTCAAATTTTTGCTTACGTATGTCGTATATTTACTTTTGCAATTACTTCTTTCATTAAAATTTATAGTTTGATGATAGTGGTATTTACAAAGAATCAGATATCGCAAATCTATCACCTTTCAAGAAAGCAACAATTCCTACCAGTGGAGCGTCATCTCCAAGCATTATAAGCTCAGCTTATTCAATTACCGATGAAGTGTCAGAAATAAACGAAGAAATTATATTGGATTACAATAATGTGAATAGTTCTGAAAAAACAACTTCAGCTGAAATTCCTTCCTCTTCATCTTCAAGAAATCGAGATTCCTCCAGAAGACTCACGAATACTTCTGCAAAAATAAAGTCGATAGATTTCGAAATGGGAAATTCAACAAGTAATAATAATAGTAGCAACGATAAGTCATCGAAAGTCAATACATCACTATCTGTTAAACAATTGATACAAGCGAAACAATGTATATCGAGAGCAGTGATCCAGGAAAACGAATATGAGAGTACAAATACCAGTGAAATTGACAGTGCAACGTTGTCTTCATCGACGACAACAAGTGAAAATAATAAATCTTATAATTATGAAACAAAAAAGCATGAAAGAAAAAAGAAATATTTAGACGAGAATCAGAAGCATAGGAAGAACATTAATATTGGATCTAACAAACTGAATTCTGAAAGCAACGAAAAATATCAATCGAGAAGCAGTTGTAGTGCAGATAGTCAAAGTTATGGAGAATCAAATTTTCTGGATAAAAGATCATACAAGACTAAAAGCAAATCACTAATTACCGATATGAACGGTTTCACAAATATCAAATGTCATATCGATGATTTTGAAAAATCCGAACAATCCGACATTTCATGGGATCCTATGCTAAAACATACAAATTTATTAGCAGATTGCCCAAGGAAAACTGAACATAACGGGAGCAGATGTCTTAACAGTGTTGCAGTACAGACAGTTCATTTAGAACCAGACAATGACCTTTTACCTGTGTTTACTCCTTTTCTACTGAAGGATATTGAGAGTAAGATTTTCTTGAAATAAAGGAATTAATGTTAATTAATCCAAAGAAATAATTTTACTCCTGAAAATTTGTAAACTATTCAGCTTATATGTTCCAATATCTCACATTGCTCAATATAATCTTACTCAAAAGCAATTCCCCTTTATTGAATAAAGAAGTTGAAAACGGCAGAAATTCTTCTGTTCTTATTTGAAATTTTACATCTGATTTGAATCATATTTCAAATGAAGAATAAAATTTGTATAAGGCAACTTTAAATTTATTTTTAGAAGAATTAAATCGAAACTTTTCAATCGTTGTTTTATAATCTTTTAAACTGTTTTAGAAAATATGAAAGGAATGAGTGAAAAAGAAGCTATTTCCACAATTATACAAACACATGTGGAACTGATCAAAAGACAAGCACGACGTGAAAAACGAATACTTGAAGAATGGGATTCTGCTATTAGCGATTTGGAAGAACGATGTCAATTGGTTAGTTTTGAACGATTGAAATTACTTCTACATGGCAGTGATTATTACTGCGCTTCTTGATCTTGAAATACTGATTATGATTGCTGAATATCATCAGATTCCATTTCCAAGATTAACTCCTTCACTATCTTTTATTTCATAATAACTGTTTGATATGAACAGAATTTATGAACAGTTACAGAGTAATGAATATCTGTGATATTAATTTAGATCTGAATTTTGCATATGATTTATTATCAAAAAATATGTATGTTATCTGCTTCTTTATCAATCAAACAGCCGATTTCTTGTGTTTATTTTATATTATAGTGAAATTACAATTGTTCTCTTTGGAATTTCATCAAAAACATTCAGAATTATTTCCTCTATTGTCGATTATTTTTCTTTTAAAGAATTCTCCAAATTTCTTTCATGTAGATTTTGAATTTGAAATGAAAGAAGCAGACTGTGAGATTCACGGAATGAAGAAAGGAATCATCACTTTTCTTGCCTCTCATCATTTCAAACACTGAACTTAGTCATCACCAATCAACTATACACATTCGTTTTCTTCACTAAAATTTGATTTTAACTATACATTGTTAGAGGAACAATTTCTACTGTATTCAATAAGAATAAAGCATTTATAAAATTACAATACAGTGAGTTATTGCAGAATGTGAAAATTTTATTAATTAATACCATTTCTTGCTTACTTTTTTGAAAAGCAAACATGAATAATTTCAAAAGTTCCATTCTAATATCAAATAGTTAGGAATAAAATCATTTGAGTCTGTCCAGCAACATAAATTTAATACATTCTTTGTGAAAAATGAAGTGAATAACTGTGAGAAATTAAATATCCCACAATTTATTGAAATTAAAATGTGGAAGGCAAATGTATAATTTTCGTGCTTCTTCGGCCGTGATACAACGTGTGGCTAAAAATCATTTCCCATCATATGACAGAAATGCTTCAAAGTATAATATAATAGTAACTTTAAAATATAGGAAGAGTTTACTGAAAAATATCGTAAAAGGAATCCGAAAACTTTCGTATTGAATTAAAAAAAAGAATGTAGTATGGATATTATTGAATTAAACTAAATTCTAACGCTTAATATTAATCCTTGTTCATAGTATTTCAATATTTTATCACTTTTATAGATATAAATATTTTGATAATAAGTTAATTCAGTTGAAAAGTTAACCTGCAGTATTGGTGATATTGTCACATTCTGTGACAGCATGAATAGATGGTAATCCAAGTGGACAAACATTTATTCGAGGAGTACAATGTTCTACCATTGTTACTAAATTTTTTATCAAATTTTCTCGTCTGATTCTTCAATAAAAAATTAAGTAATAATTAAATTCAGAATTGTGATTGTTTTTTCCACTAATTTCAAAGATTTAAATTCAACTTTATTCTATTAAATTAACATTGTCTTGAATAGATACGTAATCTTTTTTTCTTAAAGAAGAGAAATTTATAATTCATATATCAAATTTACCTGGAACTTGCAAAGTAACTATCTTTGGAATTTGGATGGGCAGAATAAACGATTGCGTTTGCGGTATCACGTGTTGCACCGAAGGTACAAGCACCACTTGTGGTTGCTGCATTGGTATCGCAGGCAGATATTGTGATGATATTACTGGTTCTGAAATTTGCTGTACTTGTCGTAACACCTGACCCGGTTGCTCGATTGTTCGGACAATATAAACAGGCGGTATATCCGGTTGCTGTATTCCACCTATTCTTATTTGTTGAGCTAAAATCTGTTGTTGCAACGAAGCTAACGTTTGTATGACCTGCTGCTGTTGCTGCTGCTGCTGCTGCTGTTGACTCTCTAATACAACCTGACCAGGTATTTGTACCGGTACTGATTGAATTGGCTGTTGAATGAGGAAGTATTTCATAGCCGATGTTTGCGGTATCACAAATTGTTGTTGATGATGGACATTTGTTTCACCAGTGATGATAGCTTGCGTTTCAGCGGTTGTACGACTGCAGGGTGTTTGCGTTCCATCACAGGGGCATAATGATCGAGGTACCGTTTGTGCACAATAATCCGGTATGCATCGACAATTTTGACACTGAAATACTACAATCTCTATATATTGTGCTGGTTCCATTTTTGTATTAAACATGTGCCTACAGTAGCAATTACCGGAAAATGGTTTAATTATAATATGATTTAAGAGATAAGATTGATGCTTGATCACATTTATAATCATTCCCAAGACGTTCAACTTTGACATTATTGCCTTTCACAAAATAATACAAACACAACTAACTGTGAGTTTTGTAGCCAATTAAAACCATATCGTGCAATTCACAGTGATTCAAAATGAATGTTTAATTATAAAATAAAAATTTTATTAAAATTATTTAGTGAAATGTTATTTAATAGAGCAAAAATCAATCAAATCAATGTCAAAAAATCACTTCAATAATGTTAATCAAACTATAACTTTCAGTAAAATAATTAATTGCTCTCAGTGCTAATAGAGGAGTTGAAATACCTGTAGAATGAATGCTTCATTGTTAATAACAGTAATTACAATAGTAGTAATAAGAGATAGAAGGCAGTGATTAAACATTTGTAGAAATGTATGGTTTCACTTCGAAACAATATATATGTATGCATATATTGAGATGTAATGCCGTGGAAAAAAGAATTTTTTTTTTTCGTGTTCTGTTAGCAATTGTGAAAATAAATTTCAATGGACAGCGATTTATAAGCAACAATATAAGGGAGAAATGAGAAAAGAAAGAGGGAGGACAAAGCTATTACTCACCGGACAACGAAATATCATTTTTCAAGATTGATATGATTTGAAATAGTAATATCAATTTCTCCTCTCATTATTATACAGCGAGAAATGATTTTCTTTATGCTCATAAATTATGCCTCCTAATGAAAGTAAGCTAATATTGGCATATAAATTAAATGACATTGCTCATAAATTACGACTCAAAGAAGTGTGTGTTGGAGAAGTGCAATCTATAAAATCTGTAAAATGATTTATAAAATCTGCGGTTATTCGGGAATCAATTGTTATTAATATGGAAAATGTACTTATTATAGCTGAAGAATTGATTTGAATTTTTAATTTTCTAAATGGCATCTGTTGAAATGTAATGGGAGTGAGGATTAAGTACTTTTTAAATTTGGATTTTAAAAAGTAAATATTTAAAGGTAAATGAAATGCGGGAATATGAAACGAAGAATATATAATGAATGCTATTAGGAAGCGATGTAATTTTAAATAACTTCCCTCAATGCAAAAAAATTTATTGCGTAATTTAACTGTATTCCGGAATGGTTGCTGCTTCACTGATTGCTGAATTCTTGATGTTGATAACTTTGGGTATTGAATTTCTGTTAAATTATTATCATCTAAATTTTAGACAATTAACAAATTAAGCAGAGAAAAAAACAAATTCAATCATACTATAGGAGCGATAATCTTCAATGATTGGTTGACATTTCTATATTTCACTTTTGCAGTATAAACAATTTCCAAATCTAATAATTGGAATGAGTTTTTTTTTTCATCCTGCAAATATTATAAAAATTTGTTAGCTGAACACTGAAAACAATTTATGAAAAAGTTAAATTCAATACTTTCAGGTTTTTTAACAATTAGAAAAGAGAATAATGTTAGTGCAGCACGATGCACTCCTGATGTAAGTTCCATTCTAATCATAATTCATTAAATCGAATATTGATTTTCGTCCTATTGAATTTAAAAAGTATTTTCATCAGAAGCTGTTCATTTTGCACATTAAAAAGAAACAAGTTTTATTCGTCAAAGACCTATTTCAGATCTTTTTTTTAAGTCTAATTCAATTATCTTCCCCTAATAAGTTTCCAATGAACTTTCCAGACTTTCACCATCAACCTTAAACTTGAATTTTAAGTTATTGTATAAATCATAATGCCATTTGTGAACTTGTTCAACTTCCCATTTTCAAAATTTTGAATTAATTTTTAAAGATTATGAAGCCATTTTGTTGGTGGGCAATTGATTTGGTAACGGCAATGAAATTTCAACTTTACCGGAACGGCATGTCATCTTTGCTGGAACATAATATATATTTGAAATGCAGCCAGGCTGTTTCCGGATTTCATGGTTTCTCATTTATGAATCTAACTACCGATATCCCTTATATGTTAGCATCTTCCGATACTTCTGTAAAATCGGATTTTATAAAAATTAACATTTTTTTTCCTGTAAATATTTCTCTCCAAAAAAGTGGTAAAACTCAACCTAAATTTCAATTATTTGGAAATATATAATGACGAATAAACCCTTAACTTCTTTTCCGTAGCAAAATAATTTAAAAATTTAGAGAAATGTTGAGTATTTATTAAAAAAAAATGATTGCAAATGATTACCAACTGACCTCTTCATTTATTTCATGAAATAAAGAAGCGGTCGTCGGGTCGCGGGAGTTATATATAAACTATTTTAGCGATTTGAAAGTGAGTAATAAAAAACTTGAAATTGAAGAACGACAAAAAATTCTTATCGAAGTTATATATTACTGTTGTAAATCATGCGAACGATATGAGGTAAAACTCAACAAACGCTTAATGAATTATAACGATATGTTTATGTGAATCTTTTTACATAGATATATTTGCGTGAATATATTTACGTGGATACTTTTACATGAATATTTGTGTAGGTTTGTTTACGTGAATATTTTCACGCAAACACCTCTTTTATAATATAATTGCTTATTTTTCAAAGCATTTTTTTCTCCAGTAGTATGCATAATGTTATCAGCAACAATTTTAAACATTGTAGGATAAAACAGATGAAGAAATAATCGAAGATCTTGCCACCGTATTCTACAAGCGTCGTCTGACGGATTCAAATATTACTGCAGTAGCAACATTTCAGAATAATTCCGGTTACTGCATTAATGTTGATGGCGAAAAAGAAGTAAACGGATTTTTGAATTGAATTTTTTAAGCAATTTTATACAAAATTACAAATAGTAATTACATGTGAAAATTAATTTGAAATTGCTTTGAACCGAATATTAGCATTCCGCTGAATTCGCATTTTAGATGAGTGATGTGTCGTGTATGTTTATGCTTGATGTAAATACTCCAGCGAAAGTGCATTTCGGCGCAATGCGATGGAATATGATCGACTTGCTGAAGCAATCATCAGAACGTGAAAATGTATGTTTTCTAACGTAACAACAATAAAACGATTAAATGCATATGATCTTATTTCTTCTAGAATTCCATTTTGATTTAGATCAAATAATTATTTATAAAGTATATTTTGGCGCAATGCGCAAAATTTTAAATAGGAAAAAAAATTACCAATAAATTGATTTCTCTCAATAAGATTTCAGTCTGTTTATATAATTTTTTAGAAGGTGCAATTTAACTGAGAAAAAATCGCTTTTTCGTTTAGTATTTTTCCTCACGTACTGGTTTTTTTTTTTAATTTTAAATATTTTTTAAATATAATCCCGGATGCTTTTTATGGCAAATTTTCAGAATTCACTAGTAGCCTTAGCTTTGCGAGGCCATTTTTGTTCAACACACAGTGTTTCACAAATTCCGGATGGTGAATGTATCCGGTATGCATCAGTAAAGGAATATTTTGTACTCTGTTGCTGTTATGAGAAACCGGAACTTTGTGCATATACAATATCTAACAAATCGATAAGTTATGTGAGAACGAACCGTGAGATCTGGAAAACAAACATCGAAGTACGCAATTTTCATTTAGCTAATCAATTACGCACAAACGTATATGGTGCATCAGCAAGCTCTTGGACATATCGAGATTTCATCTACAGTAAACTAACAGCATTTGGTAAGCATTACTGATAGTGATAATAATAATGAATGATAGAACAATGATTACAGCAAATCATGAATCAGAATTATTCAAGACGCTAAATTCATTACCATTCTCACTAAATTTTCGATTAACATAAAATATATCCATTCATTTATAAAATTGTCTCATCTGTACCGAAAAGATTAACTATTGATTGGAATGATTCTGTATAAATTTTTCTCTAATTTCATTCCTCTTTTTGAGTTTCTTTAACACTTTTACAAGTAATCATTTTCAATTTTGTAATAAAAAATGATATTCTATAAAAATTAAAAAACTTGAACAAAATTATGATTACAGCGTGTAAAATCATTAAAGTTATTTGACATCGATCTCAATTTGAATGCAAATAATCATTAGAAATGTCATGAAATGCTTTTCGAGGTAATCAGAAAGAATTTTCGACCACTCGTAATGTTCCACTTTGGCATTGTGCTGTTGGTCAGTTCATGGTGTACAGTACTGAAAATATTACTTCTTCGATAGAACTGCACAGGTTGAAGCGGGAAGATTTACCACTTCGTAGTAAGCATTGCATTGCTGATTTTTGGATTGAATTCATGGAAGGTCAAACAAAAAGGTAACAGTTGCAGTTTGCGCTGCTCTTTTTCTTCTTGTGGTTATAATCATGATCTTGATTATGATTATAATTATGATCAGGATCATCTTGTCAATTATTCTTTGCTACAATGATAAAACATTATCAAAAATATTTATAAAAGAATGTTATGAAAAAATTTTTACACCATTGAACAGGTGGAATTCATCCTAAACCTCACAATGATAATTGATTTTGATTCATTTGTTATATCTATGCGGAATAAGTCTAATATATGAAAGTGATTTTCCTATTTATTTGAAATTTTGCAATGGAAATCAGTGATCTCCAAAAAATATTTCAATGGAAATCAGTGATCTCCAAAATTATGCCGAATTTTGTGGGATAAACAACATTTAGAAGTTTTGAATTTCATCAGAAAATGCATTACAAATGTAGAATTAATTTTTGATCAATTGAAACAAATTCATCTTTCTAAAAAGTTACAATGCAGGTCAATTTTATGGCAAACAATTCCTGCGAAAAATTTCATTCAAAACTTTTATATATTTTATATGTGAATTATAATTAAAGATAAATTAGTGACAATTTAAAAAATTACATTTTTGTTAAAAATTTGTGATATTTCAGTATATTTTTCGATGCAAAAGCAGATACGGAAGGTGAATGTAATTCAGTGAAAAGCGTTTCTTGTCAATTAGTTGGACCGAAATGTCTCAACGATTTGTTGCACGTCTCGCATAATAAAGCACAGTATCGATGTTGTTGTAATCGTGGAAATTTATGTAATCATTGGGGCAATAATAACGTCGCCAAAAGCAAATATCAAATTGGTCTAAAACCAAAAGATTTGAAAAAGTGTGAATTTTTTCGGTTCAGTCATGTTTTGTATTTTTTTTAAAAACTATTTGAAATTTTAAATTTGAATTATTTATGATACAATTAAATATAGGTTTGAAATTATTTTGTGAAAATATTTACGAAATGAATTTACTGCAATTTTGGTTCTCTTCTTCAAATCGACAAAATTCATGTTACACTTGCACTTCTAGTTTTAAATTCTGAAGCTTATTGAAAATTCAGGCATATTTTAATTTCTGACAGAGTTTTAATTCTTTTTTCAATTCTAATAGTTTTAATAAGAAATTTGAACAACGATTGCATTGATTTTATTAAAATAAAAAAAAAGTTATATGAAGAATTCATTTTAGTGTTGTATTTCGATGTCATATTAGAGCGATAGCATATTTGACCCAAGTTTTCATGAACCGCACTAATAATGATTTATCAGAGAGTAAGTTCAATAATTTAGAATGACAGAATAAAGATAAAACAAACATTAATATTACCAATGCTTCCAAAAAAAAAGCACAAATGCCGGAGTTTCCAGATAAGATCATCTTTGGACAAATTTCATTTATCTTTTGCAGCATGTTGGCGATCATTTGATTTTCATTTCGAGCAAGAAATTCTTATGATTGGTGGAGTTTCTTATCAGTTAACGTTGATTTATCGAGTAGCACGTAAGGTATTCCCCAACCAGTAAGTTTAATTTTTTGAAAAATTTCATCTAAACGTTATTATTTTCTTTAAAAACATAGTTGAATAAAGAATTTTTGAAATTTGAAATCACTAATCTTCCTATTTATTGCAACATATATGCATCATTGTATGGCATAATTCAAGAAAGCTCACTTATTGGTTAAATTTACCAATGAGTTCGAAATAATTTTTTTTATTAGCTTTTAAAATTTTGACCTTAGTAAAAATTTTTTATTGTTTAAAATTTCTCTTCTTTACAGAAATTTGGTTTGTGAAATATTAAATGCGTTCCCATTACGGCCACAGAATTGTCATCGTAAGGATTATATACATCAGCCTATCACTTATCAGTTTTTCAAATGTGAATGCAAACAGGAAACGTCATATTTGGATTTTTTTCTCAATTTATTTTTCGGTCAGCAGAAGGAAGTTGTACGTAATCAATATTTTTTTATTTACAGTCAATGTAATTTAAATTTCAGTAAAATCTTTCGCAAAATTTCCAATTTAATAATTTTTTAATTTGAATATGTTCGAGAAAATCGAGAAGTAATGTGTTCTAGCGCAAAGCAAATATCATTTCACAAATTTCTACAACAACTCAATTTTATCTATTATTCTGAGCTAATTCATTCTTTCTTCTTGCAAAGAAACGGATTTTTAAAACCTTCAATTTCATGTTAGAAAAATATTTAACTTTATTCCTTCTTGTTTTTCAGAAAACTTGTGATGAAAAGATGCCCAGTTATTTCAAGGAGTACAAAAACACTCTTACAAGACCAACTTGTTACGAATCGTACAATGCGAGTGGACCATTAAAGATTGATTTGTATTCATTTAATCGAAATGTTAATTTTACTGGTATTTTAATCAGAAGAATTGTAAGTATTAATTTGATTACTAAACAAAGCATAAAATCCTAATTGAATTTCAATGAGAACGACATAATGAATTTCTCAAACATTAAATTGATGATAATAATTATGACACGGTAATCGTATACAATGTTTTCTAATTTTTTTCTCAAAAATTCAATCAAGAAATTTATGGGGAAATTTTTTGATGAGATGTCATTTGCTACATACTCACTATTATTAATTATTGTCAACCTGATCCTATGTTTAGAATTACCTAAGTAGAATTTTTTGAAGATAGAAATTAAAGATTTTTCTAATACCTCAATCTTATTCACCATTTTATTTCTATCATAACTCAGCAATACAAGTGAAATTCATTCAATTACAGGTAACAAATAGCACTCCAATTTGTGTTACTTTTGTTAAAATTAGCACAGAAAGTATTTCATTTGGTATATATGCATTACGTCCAGCAAAAACGATAACTGAAATTCAAAATTCAAAACGTTTTATGTTATTTAGACGTCGTTTAAGTAGTACATTTGTACAACGATGTCAATCGAATTCAACAAAATCATGCAATGGTTAGCACTACGTTAAAATTTAACTTCTATTAAAACTTCAGTTTAATCTTTTTTTTAAAAAAATTAAAAGTCAATGAATATAATTCATTTTATCAAAGGCGAATTGAGGATATTCAAATTAAAATTAGAGTAAGTATGAAGTTAAAGGTAATTTTCATTTTGACAATTTTATTATTAAAAAATTTTTTTTTCAGATTTTAAAAATTTGATTGAACATTTGCTACCATCGGCATTACATGTCTATGCAAGAGATAGGGAACCATCTGGTTACTCTAAATGTTATATTACGGATGACTTACAACGAATAAATTGTAAAACAAGTTTGGGATGCTTTGATTTTCACTCTTTCAACGGTGAAAGACAAGTAAGCTTGGATTTTATAGATTAAAACTTTTTTCTTAGAAAAAAATGGCTGAGTTAATTTTTTGCAAAAATCAAATAATTTGAATTGTAGAGCTTCATAAACAATTCACGTTCTATTTATGAAAAATAAATTGTTGAGACCACAAGTTCATAAATCACACTTCACAATTTTTAGCACTTAAATTTTATGAAAAATTTACATGAAACTAAGTTCGAAATTCATGATAAATCTTTTTTTGAGGCAAAAAAATATTATCAGTGATTTTTTTGTATTTCAGCAGGTATTGTTTTTGAATTAATTTGATTAAATTAAATCGTTTGTTATTGCTAACCAAATCATTACATTCATTACGCTCAAATCTCAGTGCTTTCATCTATGATGCTATCAGTGCTAAATACTTTTAAGCGTGGATGCATCGATGATATACCGAAATTAATAAATAAAAAACCAGAATTAACAGTGCTGAACTATTGCAAGCACGTGAAATTATGGAAAACTCGGTCATATATATGTAGCGGTGTGCACAATATTACAAATTCTCATCAAAAATCTCTCGATGGTGTACTGTGTTGTTGCAAGAAAATCTGTCCATTAAGGTAAATAATTTCAATGATTTTTATCTTATTGAATTGGAAAAAATAAATGTTAGAGATTAGACAAGTGCTTGATAAGGTTTATACATTTAATGATACAAAAGTGTATACAATTTTCATGAAATTTAATTGAATTAATTGAGCAATGAAATTTGAGCTAAACGTATTTTCACGTTATAATAAAATTTATTACTACAATGTATAGTATGTTTTTTTTTGAAAAGTTTTGAAATTATTTGAAAATTATATTTTTCTTTTAGGAATCAAGTTCAATCACCAACAAATAATAATATGGGCTTCAATATTTTTGAATCAATTTCATGAAAATTTTTCATCGTCTCCTTCATAATCAATTATCAATACTTTTGCATATTGTTAATTTTTTTTTCATGCACTGACTGAACTATGGAATAAACATTAATTTGGTCCAATATGAATAGAACGGTCTTGTATCATTGCCGGAGTTAAGTATTTTGAATCCTGAAAAGCAATACAAAAACAACATACGTCTGATAAATTTTGAATAAAAAAGTTTGTTTCGAATAAAATTGAACCAAACAAGAAAAAAGCCAGCATGATGGTTACTTTCAATCTTGTTTGTTATTTCGTTTATAATTTAAATTTCAAATCTAGAAATTTTAAATTAAAAATAAATCCTTAAATCCTGCAATTAGTATGACACCGACCTCTGTGGTTGCAGTGTTGCGCTGAACATTAGAACCACGCCTAAATCCAGTTGATGATCCACTTTCTTGAACATTTCTTTCAGATGTGCTCTTCTAAAAAAAAGCGCTGAATCGGAAATAACCATCTGTTATATATTCCGCTTTCAGTTTCAAATTGTTTCATAATTTTAATTTATATCATTTTTATCTCTATCTCAGTAAATCTTTGATAAAATCAGTTGATCAGACTTGAGCTTCCTGATTGAAATATAACAATAACCTGTTTTCCGTAATAGCAAAAGAAATAGAAAATAGCAACAACAGCAATAATTATAATAATTGTTACAAAGCTCATCCTTCTTCACCAAATTGCTTCACTTTTGAACACTGTAATAAGTACAAAAAAAAAGCAACCACTTTAATTAAATCATTTTGGATAGCAAATTGCTATCTAAAAATTTTCATTTCATAATCCTGGATACTTTTTCAAAATTATAAAATAATAAATTATTCACTTTTTTGTTACTGTGCGTTTTTGTACTTACTTCAGGCGGTTGTTCTACAAATCCGCTTATAATGCACTCACCGCTATCAACGAATGATGAAAGTCAAGAATGTGTGAATAACAATAATGATGGTATACATTTTTTTTTCTTTTTAAAAGAAATCAATTTTTTGATAAATACACTTTCAAAAAAATTTTAGGTCATGGAGTTCATCTGATATATTCGGAATATGATTGCCCTCCATCGGAAACTGATGTTGAAGTAATCGAAGGAGCTCAACATTATTGGTGGCAAAGTTCAAAATCGAGTGAATATGGGCAATTTATCATATAATCATTTATAATATATTTATTTCTGATAATTTTCATATAATTCATTATAATATGCAGAATGATTTACAGCAACTGATGAAATTAATTACTACTATAATCATGCGCCACACGGGACTAATAATTACTGTTCACCACAATGTAATAAACTTTTAAATTAACATTTTAATTTAATGATAGTTTACTTTAGGAATTTTATCTCAAATTTAAAACTTTAATATAAATCAAAATATCAAACGTTTAAAATGAAATCATTCAGGAAATCTCAACTCTCATAATATATTATTTTCCTTAAAATTTATGAAAACAAGAAAATACTGTTCAAATTTATGAACCAAAAAATGTTTGAAATTCATAGACTTTTAATATCAGTAATAATAACGGTTAACATTTGTATTCAAAAAAGCAAACAAAACACTGAGGTCAAGAAAATTTGATAGCTGTCATTACCCATTAGAAATTGCCAAATAACTGTGATAATCTTGTTGGATAGAAATTTCAACAAATTTTAAGGTGGAAGAGAAGTGTGTCTCGTTTACTCCGATTACGATGAACCATCTTCCGAGACAAGCGTTGAAATGAGCCAATTATTTCACGATAAAAAAACTGATGGTTTGTCAAACATATCATATGACATTTTAACTACCTGAATTGAACGATTTATATTGCAAATGTGTCTCAGAAAGTTATTATATGACCTTTTAAACATGCATAATGCTTCCAATTCATGGAGATTTTGTACTGAATTAATAAAATGTTTTGGTAAGTAATGGTCTAATTTAGAATTTGTCATATTGTTATTTCAAAGTTTACGTTATAAAAAAATTTTTTTTAGAAGGACTGAGTTTTTTTAGGTCGTGAAGTTCGTCTAATTTATTCTGAATACGATGAGCTTCCATCAGAGACAGATGTTGAATATGACGGACGTCCATGGTGCTCTATTTTTGGTAAGCATTTCTGTCTTGTCAATGCTCCAAAAGTTTATTTATCTTTCATGTATTGACTAAGTTTATGTTGAATAAATCAAATTAAGAATAATTTTAACCTATTTTTAGGTAATCCGGCACTTTGGAAAATTCGAGATGAAGGTACGTTAGCTGATCATTTTACGTTTCATATTCACAGAATTTTCATTAAATATTTGTCATACGTGTTTATGTTTATCGTTTTTTAATATTGAAAATACTGTAATTATATAACAATGATTATTTGACATACGTTTCTACACTTCTAAAAACTGAATTAATTATTTATTAATAATGAAAATGAAGGAGATGCTATCATCAATAAATAAGACCAATTTTCTTTTAAGACTTCGTTGAACCAAAATGAACAGAGTGTTACATAAGAAATGCAATAGTCTGAGAATAGTAGATATGAATATTACAAAAATATAATTTCAGGTCGTGAAATGCACTTAATCTATTCTGATTATACAGAACCGAAATCTGAAGCAGCTGTTGAAATTGAATATGACAGTTAGTCTAAAATTTCCAAAATCACCAATTCATTTAAAATTATGATCAACCTGCTATTTTTGTTCAAAAAAATGTTTTCAATGTCATAGAAAGATTGAAGGAAAATATATAACGTTTAAATATGATGAAAAATTTCATGTGAGTTAACAAAGTATGGGTATTGCAGGTGATTTACAAACCTCCGATGAAGAGCTACATACAGGTAAAATTATTCGGATGGGCTTCATTGCTATCATTTGAAATTTTAAGTACACATTTAAAATTCTTTTTTTATAAAGTGAGAAAAGAGAGAAAAAATCTTAAATCTGCAAGAGAATATAAATGTCTTCTGAGAAATGGAAATATCAAGCTAAAAATATGAGAAAAGTTAATGCAAAAATCACTGCCACTTCAGAGCAATTTAAAAAGCATCAAACATATGAGTGATGTCGAGAGTAGTGATCCATCAGCTTTGTCCGCTTAACTTTTTAGTGTTTTGTTGATTTTTAGTGATAAAATCAGAGTTTGTTTTAATTTGGAAGTAACGATAAATTTTTACGTAGTCTTAACTTAGTCTTAGTTAGTAAATACTTAGTTTACGTAGTCAATAAACTTCCAGTCATTAACTTTGTGTAGTCATCTGAATAATGTTAACAATTCTTTAATTAATAATTCACACTTTTTTTATTTTAGTGCTGTATTTGAAGAATTTCGTTCTTTCTTTCATGCATTTTGTGGTACCTACGACACTTAGTGGAATAATACTGTCATAGCAATTGTCATATTAGAATTGTGAAGAAATTATCTTAGAAGATAAATATAAAATGGAGTAGGATGTTTTCAAGGCACTAAAAGAGTTCCTATATTCTACAGCACAACAAATATCATGGAGTACTGATAATATCTCAAGCACTGATACGCATAATACTATTTCGAGTGATATTTATACACGTAAGATAAATTTCGCAACTTTATATTATTACACAAACAATTTTGATTATGTAGAAGAGACAACTGAATTTAAAACAATTTCAAATTTAGGACGTCCACCGAAATTTCGCTCCATGTATTTTAGAGATTCGCTAGAATTGATTGAACAAAGTAAGCTTTTTCAATGTCCAATCTATTCTTTTTTTTCCTATTCTTTAGAATTTTTCAAAAGTAATTTATTGAATTCTCCAGAATTAATTGACTGAATAATAATTTCTCTTTCATTGTTAATATTTTCTTAAATAATTAAGTTGGAGCAAATGAAGCGATCAACGATGAATTAGAACTATCTTCTGATAATGGTAAATCATAGTTTCCATCATTTATTTGCTTGATTAAGAAATAAGTAAGCATTTGGAGGCATTTCTGTAAACTTAATTTTCCGTTCGTATATATACGTCTGCATTCGTATATATTCGTATATATAATACGTGTTAAATTCGTGTTAAATTGTATGCAACAAATAATTCCAGGTTCCGCTCCTGTACAGAAATCTGTAATGCCGGTCCAGTATCCCGATAATATGGAACAACTGCTTGCATTTGCGGATAGCAGTAAGTTTGATTTCACAAATTATGGCCTATCTTTATTAAACCTGATCAATGAGTCACTTTTCTTGAAGACGAGTTAAAGACATAGTGTTGTTGTGAGAGCCTGTTCAAACTATTGATTTACTTTCTTTATGCTTTAGGTATCAACGAGAACTCTGTTCTTGGATATCTTGAAAGTCAGGAACTGAACACAGGTATGTTTGCTGAATTCTAATGATCTATTCTTTCGAAAATTTTCGAAAATAAATGAAAGCATTATTTAAGTCTAGAATAAAAAATTATTTATTAATAGAATTAATAACTTATTAATTAGTATTAATGAAATTAATAAAATGGGTAAAATCGATAAAATTACTGGGAAAAAAATAAAAAAAATGTCAGCAATCTGTTTCAAATATTAACAATATGTATGGTAAAAAGTATACACGTAATTTCCATCTTATCAACTTTTCAAAACAGCATATAATATTGTGAAAAAACAACTTTCAATTAACAGTATGAAAGAGTTGAAGTAATTCCGATAATGATTGTTTGTAGCAAAAAGTAATCCATCAATGATGTCAGCAATTTCGGCAGAATGTGCATTCGGGAATTCATTTTCAATGGATCAGAATGATTCCTTAAATTCCAGTTAATTATTATCCATCATACTTAGCTTTACTTTCAAATCAAAAAGGCATTATAATAGAAAAAAAGAGCGATACTTCTGCTGTATAATAAATCTTAATACAATCAAGCACCCCGATATTTCAACAAATCTCCTTTAAATGATCATTACAGAGCATCACTGTCCTATGATGACAACTTACGAGATATTATTATCATGTAATGATCATCAAAGATAACCAAGTCATTTTTTAATAATCATTACTGCATATAATCATGATATTTTCAGTTACTTGCGAATCAATTTGAAAGCTGAACGAGCATCTCTCTCTCTCCCTCTCTCTCCACGTTCACTTAAAATTAAATGATTGAATAAAACTTACATCTCTTTGAATCACTCTTCAAATCATTATCAAAAGTACACGTATCCACCTTCGTCATCAGCACTCAAAGTTCAATCCTTACACGTCTTACGTATTGCATCTTTACGTACTACAAGCAGGTTTTGAGTCAGCCAATTTGCATAATGGCTCCTCATCGGTGATCATTCACTCCCCAACCTGCATTTTCAATTTAGATTTAGCAGGTCACGCTCACCTTATGCATTTGGGTGAGGGGGAGGGGAGAGTGATGACGTTGACGCAGGACGGGAGGGTCATTCATATGATACGCTAAAACATTCTGGATGAACAGATGTTAGATTGAGGTCAAGTTTATTAGCAACATTTTCATAGCTTACGTTAAACTTATATGGCAGAGACGAGATGATTGGAAAATTATTGCTATAATTTGCTGTAATTTGCTATGATTTCTATATACAGGTAATAAGAGATATGAGTGATTATTTCTTGCGTTATGCAAGACGACTTATTCGTTAGAAATTGAAAAAATTTCTTTCTGTGCGTCGGCTTGCTAATTTGTTAAACAGATTCAATCAAAGTGCTAGTAAGAGAAGCAAAGAGAAAAGGAATACAAATGGAGTGAAGTGAAATGGAATGGAGTAGGACTGAGTAGTGTTTGTAAATGTGTCTGTATAATTTATTCACCAATATGCTTACTCATTTACGTAATTCATATATTTTTGTATTATTCTCATTCATTGCTCAGAGAATAAATGGAGCATCGATAATTCTTCTGAAACGCTACTGTACCAAATCTTGTCTAATTGTTTATATAATTTCGTTATTAATTTCTAGCGTAATTGACTTCTTTCAATCACCTCGTTGGGCTAGATTATTGCATTCCACCACTTCTGGCATTTCGGGCTGTCTTCTTGCGTTGTGATCCTTACATGTTATCGTAGAATTAGATCCAGTTTATTATCTTTTATCTGATCTTTGGCTTCTTTTCAATTTTTTGGTTAGTCTCTTATATGCATTTAATTGTGTTGCAGGCATGAACCATAGTGGACCAGACCTATACGACAGTATAACATCATCAGCACAGGTCGCCATGAAATCAGGTATTTGATAGGGATCATATTTCTTGTACTTTCCACCAGATATATCGAAAAAACATAGGAGGAAAATATTCCTTAGTTATCGCTTTGAGCTGCAAAAATGGATGATTTGTTGGATTATTGATAATTTGAATAGTATCATTGTTGGTTATTTGGTAAATATTAGTAATTTTTTAATAAGTAGCCTTCACGGAATCATGTATGCTTGCTGAGTGGACCTCGTAACGAAGAGCAGGCAGATTTCTCTAATATGAAACAATCTTGTGTGTTTGCTGAACGATGACTTCAACAAAGTTGAGTCATCATGAAAATAATGATTCATTTGCAACGCGAATGAATTCTTAGAAGAGGCAGTGATTGGTCCACAAGAAATTAATCTAAGATATGAAACAATAAACAGAAATTTGAAAATAACTGGAACAATTATCAGGAATGGAGTATCGGTGTGCTTTTCGTAAACAATGCTCATGCAAATACGTTAGGTCGTTCGTTTTGATCTATATCCTCAACAAAGTTGAGTCATCGTGAAATGATTCATTTGCATCGCGAATGAATTTTTTATAAGTCATCTTTATGCATACATTGCCTAGAAATTGAATGAGATGTGTTATTTGAGATGGTCACGGTTAAATAGTTCATTTCCTTTCGTCTTTAAGTCTGTCTTCTCATTTTGTCATCACTCTCTATTTTTTTCCATATCATTTAGTTCTCCTTTCTGCTCCAACAATCACGATGTTTTTTAATGCGAGCCTGTTAAATTTTCATTCGTTTTTGTTGTATAGCATCCCTTTCTTCCTCCGCATTATGTTAAAGTGATGCTCACTTACAAATGACTTACCATTTATATAAAAACTATATTAATCCACTTATCTACAGCCCTTGAAGCAAACACATACAAAAGTCTTTATACATTATCATTTAATCACCAAGTAACTGCTTAATCACCAAGTATCAATAAAAAATGTATTGATAGAAAGTTGGTTAATAACAATTTAAGGACTTTTGCATATACTGCATTGGATTGTAAACAAGTGAATTAGTGCGACTCTGAAATTTATATTTATCAACTAAAAAAAGGAAATAAGGGGTTTTTTTGCAGGAGTTTCATTTCAAAAGTGTTAACTTAGGCAAATATTTTTGTTTTTGCAAATAAATGTTTTTCCGAAACATCTGCGCACATTTCTATTGCTATAGATTTGTTAAATATCTGTAGGAAATAACCTTATTTTCATTATGTATTTACTTTCGTTTTTTTGTGTTTTGTTAGTACTTCAGCATTTCCGAGCTCCGCACATTTCGGCTCATTAATAACCTATTATTTTTTTCTCTGTGCTTAATTTTCACGGTATTTTGTATGCTTCCAATATTTTCACACACAGTTTATTGCTTAAATAAGGAGTATATACGAGACATTAACCAAAATAACACTGAAATCAGGATATTCACGCGAGTAATAAACTAAACGGCTATTAGCAGTTGATAACATTCTCCACTAAAATAAAATATCAAAACAGAAGTATAACCATGAGCCAGTATTATCACCGAAGCTATAGATTTGCCGAAAAAAACCATATAAACAGAAGAATAAGCCGCCAAAGACTCTGCATACACAAATAAAGAACAGAAAACCGTCCTAAACAAAAAAAAAGATCAACAACTCAGGGCTATAAATATCCAACGAACTTCAATATAATGCTATCCAAAATCTGCTAGTTCTAGTCAAGAGCTTCCACATGAATTTTGGGCAACCACACGTGAATAAAATACACCACAAATTTAACCAAAAAACAATTCAATAAATAAACGAACAACATATGAAAAAAATCATAGTAAAGGAAACTCAAAAAACGAATAACACACCATGTAAGAGCAAATACGTCATATCAAAAAATAAAGTATGAAAAATTAAATAATAACAAGCACTAATTTGACGACCGTAGCAAAGCAAACAAAATAAGAAACCACAGTTAATTCATAAAAAATGTAAAGCATCAAAAATCTCCTAGAATAGAAGAAACAAGCACTAAAAAACCAATTTTCTCAACAATCCAAGGCAAAAACATCTATGAAAGACAAAAAAAACAAAGTTAAAAGGATCAAAAAAAAGACAATCACCCGAAGAATAATCAAGAACACCGGACAATATAAAGAACATAACAAAACAAAAAAGAATTAGAAGACAACACAAGCAGAATTAATTCCTTAATTATAAATTAGGAATTTTAAATTAAACTAATATAGCTCTGAAAACTAACGCAAACATGAACGAAATAATCATAATACTTCACAATTGTGACAGCATTCATAAAGTAATTGCTGCAGCACATTGTTTCATCAGCTGTACAAACTAAATTTTTTTTTAGGAAAGTCGCTTGGAAGTAATCGAAGGCATTACTTGCAGCGTAGCAATTGTTTTGAGTGTGAAACGTTGATAATGAATGTCACGGAGCTAAATGAAAGCCAGGTAAAGATTTTGCTTCCATGAGTCATGAGATATGAGATGTTTTTTAGTCAATAAAATAGCTAAAATTTGTAATCAGAGGTATATATGAGAAATGAACGATATCTTCATATATCATAAATCAGTTATAAATCAGTTATAAGGAAGAGATAAATTAAAAGTATACAGCGTAAACATTGATTGTTTGGCTTCTGTTTGACAAAATATGTCTTCATGATTTATTCATGATCCTTGTAGCTGTTACCATCTCTGATAATTAAATCAAATCATTTGTCTATCTGTAAATTTCATTTTTTAGAGGGAGTATGAAATTTCGAAGCCTCACCGATATGGATTCCAGACCACATATTTTAAAGATGGTAAAAGGAAAATTGATTACGTTTTGACCTATGAGTGTAGTGAAATGGATGGTGAGGAAGAATCCAGCAGTGTAAATGACATAGAAGATGTGAGTATTGTTTTAAAATTAATCATATTAATTAATTATTTGGCACTCAGTTTCTATTCTGTTTTCTTAGAATTCTTTAATCGGTTAACTTAATATATTTTCGAATAACAAATTTGCAGCATAATCTGGCATGCATACTATCAGTTGTAGCTATATTGCACTGGACCGACATTACCACGCCATGTAGTGAAGATAATGAGGACACTTTCTCGAAAAGCTATCAGAATAGTTTCTGAAAAAGTCAGCTTCAAAAATCATTTCATATGGTATTATTGTAGAGCACTTATGTAAGATCGATAGAGGAGAAAAAAGTAAATAAACGCCTACAGTACGAGGAAAATTTAAGACAGCTGGGATTGGAATTAGAGCACGTTGAAGGGAAGGTATGGTTTCCATAATATAATTTTTAATCAAAGTAGATTTCATTAAGCTATAAATGCTATTAAAACTAGTTAATATTGACAACAGATAACTGACTTATAGACACCTTTACAGTTTTTGAGTTTATTCTCAATGATCAGACGAAGGTCAGAAGAAGAATCCAGCAGTGGGATGAATGGATTTTTTATTTGAAATTTCTGATATTTGCCTCACATTGTTTAAAAAGTCATTTTTTTAGTTGGAATCTTTGATATTTGGTTTGAAGTTTAAAGTGCAACAACATCTTTGTAGAGAGAAATATTCTCTTTTTTATAATCAAAGAGAGAATTTTTCAATACCAGATGGGCAAACAAACTATTGTAAAAAACGATTCATATAATTTGAGCAGTTTTTATATGGTTTTCAGTATTGCAAAAAAACTCACTTTGTATTAGTTCATGCGCCATTTTTATTGCTAATGAAACAAGCTGAAAGTCTTTGTTTGAAAATGCCAGTGCTACAAAGCGATGTGAAAGTTAGTTTATTTTCGTTATACTTAAATTAGCATCATGTTGATTCAAAGTTGGGATATAATTTTTATTTCTGGAAGTATGGTTTTATCAAAAGAATGCGAATGGATGTACAGATGCTTTCTTGTAACTTAAAACTTGAGAATTTAGTAACATCAATTTGCTCATAAACTAGTTTATATCCGTACAAATATTCTGAAAGAACCAGTATATGACGAAACATGTAACAGTTTCTTGTCAGTGAAAGCCTCATTTACAATGAATACTGCAAAATACTAGTTTCTGTATTTCAGGAACGAACTGTCTTGGAAGGAATATTGGACAAATTTATGAAAAGATTTCGTTTTTTAACATTTGATGAGAAGACAAATGAACGATTAAAAGAACCAAATTATTTTACAGCCCCTTTTATGGCTGCTCATTTAGATTGGTACGCTTTTTAGTTATTGTTTAAGTTATCAAATTTATATCATTAAAAGCCTGATTAACGAGCGGTATTCAAAAATTAGTCATTAATGTGTAAAAAGGGTCGAGATATGCCCAAAGTCGCATATTAAGTATGTCATTTGGAACAAAGGACTGTTTTTTTTCGTAATCTAAATAATTACATCTTGTTTGTTATATGTATGAGCATGCCTTTGTATTGTTTTAGTTATGTTGGCCATGAAAACCCGAATACATTCTTTGATGATTCGGAGCGAAGTCGATTAGTATATGACTTGTTGATTCGAACTAAGTATGATACATGTGAAGCTGAAAAATATCGAGTTGGCATACAACGTTTGATCAAGAATGGTACATATACATCAGCTTTTCCGCTGCATGAGGTAATATCGATATATTAAATCGAAGTATTTTTATAAAATTTGGAATATCCCGGATTATGGTCTTATTCAGTTAGCCTTTTAATTTTTTCTGATGCAAACTTTCATTATTTATCATCTAGATAGAAGTGGATGAATGGTTGCTGTTTTTTATGGTTATCTTTTTATAACAATTGAATATGTTTTATGTGATAATATTTGTTGTCATTTCTTATATTTTTTGTTTATAGGACTGCGACTGGAATGTGTATGACGCTGATAGAAGTACCGATCGTGAGTTTTTATACTGGAACTGGGCTCGTATTACAAACATTTACAAATATCAGCCACTTTGGCTAATAAAGTATGTTTAATAAAGCATTGTTTGTCCCATCGCATTTCCTTTTTTCCATTTACTGAAAAATTCTAAATGTTATCTTTATATCATTCCTAATGCGCTTACTCTTGTTATTTTGATTCAAAAACACAGATTTGGCTAATGCATTTTGTGAATTGAAATCCATTTTAAGTGCAGTTCATCTTTTTTATTACTGCTACCTTCAAGATGAATTTCATATACAATGTTTTGAATATTCGCTTAAAATCAGGATTACAACAAAGATTACAGAGTTTGTATTGGACTGAGTGATGAAGCTTTTCGTGATAGTTTTTGGATTTACTTCTGGCTTTGACAGCAGCAAAATTTGTTGTATTCATCTTTGTAGGAAATATTTTGGCTCGAAGATTGGATGGTATTTTGCTTGGTTAGGTTACTATACGAAAATTTTAGTTTTTGCTTCTATTATCGGCATTTTATGTTTTATTTATGGAATAGCAACGATTTCAGAGGATATACCGAGGTCTATTTCTCTACACATAGCGATTTATTTTATTCAACTTTTACCTTCATAACGCTTACATATACAGATTTCAAAATTGTTTTCTTTGGAAGACAGCTCAAGAACGCTTGTTGGGATTATTTTTTATACACTCAGTAGAGTATTCAGTCTTTTTTAGATTTTATTTTTTATAATTATTTGAAGATAATGTCAGGGTCGACAAAAACACGAAATTGCGAAATCCCTAGGAATTTTATTGTTTGATGGCATTAGGAAATAGATTTGGAAGACTTATTGAAATTGAGAAAATTATAAGCACTTGCAATGGGGAACAGAAAAATACGCATTATGCAGAAACTTAAAATAGGTCTGTAAGTTCTGTATTCTTGAAATAAGTTAATTTTAGGACACTTCTTGTTCCATTAAAAAATTTTTTCACTTTATTGAATTGTAAATTTCAATTTTATGGCTTAAAATTTCTTGAATTTTGAAACTATATTTTGCTGTTTTAGTAACGATATTTGCGGTAATGATGGAATTGGTGCTGAAGTGATATTGTGTCCAAATTGTGATAAGTACTGTGATTACACTCGACTTAATTCCAGTTGCATATATTCAAAGGTATTGTTTCTGGACTTATGATTGTTCTAGAAAGGAAAATCAAAAAGTTTCTGAAGCAAGCTTCTTTAGAAAACTTTCTGTTCTTTTCAAATAGAACATTCTTTGCTATTTTTAATTTAGATTTATTGAAAATGCTTCTTTCGTTTTTTATTTGTTTTTATTTTCTTTAATTTTTTTTATTATTTTTGCTTTTTATTTGTTTTTACTGCATTTGCAAGGTGATGCTCAATGATGGAGAGTGTCTTTTTCAATTTGGATACTTTTACTTATTTGTAACTGATTACTGAATTGCAGCTATCATATATGTTTGATAATACGTCGACTGTTATATTTGCCGCCATAATGAGTATATTTGCAACACTCTTTCTGGAAGGATGGAAGAGATATCACGCTGAAGTGGCCTGGAAATGGGGCTTGCTTGACTTTGAAGTTGACGAGGTTGTCTATAGTTTTCTATAAATATCTTTTTTTGAGAATTATATTGATGTTTACTTTTGTAGTAAAATTTGCAGATGAAAACTCTATAAATTGTTGACCCAAAGCATTATTGTTGCGGATCAAACTCCTATGAAATCTGAAATTGAGTAGAGTTAGAGATTTCATTAACTTTAATTTTGATAACTCATCAACCTTAATTAGCAGTAATAGACATCATCCATATAACCATTCCATAAGCGAAAACATCAACCATTTCAGTAAGCGCTATGTTCTTGCGAAGTTCCTATTTATCATAATCTGTTTTCTATCTTCTTATTTTACTATACCTGCTCATGAGATCTCATTTATTTTTTTTCTTTTCTTAAAAGAATTGTTGGTTGAGATGCAGTGATCTTTTTATTAACTCACTACAAATACCTTATTGTATTCTTTCTGAACAGAAGAAGTTTTAAATTTTTAATTCAGTTTTTCACAACTAATTGAATTATTCAATTAAGGAAACAGTTAGGCCTGAATATCAGTTGCGTGTTAAAAAATCGAAAACAATGCGAATCAATCCTGTTACGCAGCAGCTCGAGCCTTATTTAACATTGCGTTATAGGTTTCTACATTTAATCGGATCCGGTGTAACTGTTCTCTTCTTTGTGAGTTTCTTTAATAGTTTTGGTAACATTTTGAGGAAATGCTAAAATGTAGCAAAAACTTTTTTCAGATTCCTCATTTTATTTTCTATAAGTACTGTTACGTCAATGAAGTAATGTAACATGCAACAATATTTCTTATTCTTTTTTTCAAATCCTCCCAAGAATACCTCATTTACTTATTTTATTTGCAGCTGTTTCTCGTGATAGCATTTGTTATTGGCATTATAATTTATCGAATCGTATTTTCTCAAGTTCTTTATCGGATGGATAAAATGAAACCATATGCAAATCTCCTCACATTCACTACTGCTGCCATATTGAATTTAGCTGTTATTTTAGCAATGAGTTATGTATGTTTGAAAATTTGCTGATTCATGGAAGATTTTAGAAAGTAATCTGCTTTTTATAGATTTTTTATAACAACACGGAGTTTCTATTTGCAAGTCCCTATTTCTTTTGGTTGTTTTTTACTTTTTAGTATTTTTAAAAAAAAAATTATACTGACAGGAAGATGTTGGCACCTGGCAGACCGTTTCAGATATCTTTTCAGATACTATTCTCAGTTTTTTTTTCTAAGCTGTGAAACTACCGCGGTAAATAAGACTATAAAAGGAGATAAATCGATTGTAAGCCACGCAAATTAGAGAATTTTTCTACTTTTATTAGTTCACCGGAGATTCTACTTATTTTTAGCTTTATTCATATTTGGCGTTGAAATTAACAGACTGGGAATGTCCAAGGACGCAACTTGAATTCGATAACAGCTACACGTTTAAAGTTTATTTGTTCCAGTTTATCAACTACTATTCTTCCATCTTTTACATTGCTTTCGTAAAGGGCAAGTATGTTTTGAAATTTTTGGATTTTTTAAATTATATTGAGTAATATATCCAAATCAGAATTGTGTCATTACTGTTGGTTTGTTATATTGATTAATTTTTTATTGTTGTCTGTTTTTCAATTCATCACTCAACTGATCATCTCTATGTCCTCCTTCATCGCGGATTTAACTATTCGTGGCGGTAATGATATGTTGACGAAGCATTCTTATTACTCGCGCATTTTACTTCATCCGTGCTGCTCGTAATCTGACTATTTACTTTTTTCTATAGGACAAATTACCTCAATTTTCGTTTTTTAGTGGATTTTTTTCATATTTTGCTCTGTTTTGCAATCGTTTAGGAACTATTCGACATTCACTTTGCTTTATTTTATGCTGTGTTTTTGATAATTTCGATTTCTGGATCATCTTTTTCAGACTTCATCATTACAGAAGTAGCATTGACAGCTTAGCTTCTTTTTTGCTGGGTGATTTTATTTCTTGCTATATCTAAGATATTATATCTCGGAGTTATACATCTCAATCTTCTGTCAATAGAAATGAGTCACCTAATAGATCTTACCTACAGTTGTCTCTAAGAATCCTAGCAAGCACTTTTTCCGACTCATCTTATCTATTAACTCAAGATTAGCTGCATTCTCGTAGTACCTATACTAACATTGGCAGGTTGAGAATGTGTAATTAATTTCACTCTTTTTAAAAGAGACTTTTGTAGTTTGTCAAGCGTGCCTGGACGACGCTATTTTGGTTTGCGACCAGAAGAGTGTGATCCAGCTGGTTGTATGGTCGAACTTGTAATACAGTTGGCAATCATTATGTGCGGTAAACAATTCTGGAATGGCTTTATGGAATTTGCATGGCCGTAAGCATATTTTTTACTGGAACATTACAGAATTAATTAGATGAAAGCGTCGTTTCCTATAGAACGATCTCATCACAAATTTGAAAATCAGTTTACTTCCAGATTGCTTATGACTTGGTTACGCTCGCTGCAGTTATTGGGAGCCAAAAAGCAACGAGATAAAACAACAAAGCATGAATTGGTCAGTAATGTATTGAATAGAAAGAATAACATAGCTAGATGGGAGCAAGATTATATACTCAATCCCACATATGAACAGTTCTTATTTGATGAATACTTGGAAATGGGTTAGTTTTTAATTATAATCTTAGTAGCCTTGTAGTCTGTAATAATCTGGTATCCTTAACGAAAAAAACAGTTTAAAAACTCCGTAAGCGGAATGCGCTATGATTATTATGCTGTGGGCAATTTATATGATCCTCTAATCTCAGATTGTTGACAAACTTTTTCAAATCTTTTCAACTTATAGAGAAAAAAATGCATTTTCTGTTGAGTTATTCATGACGGAATTAGCGGTCTTTCTAGATACTTTTTTCCTGAAGAAAACTTTTTTAGTGATACAATTTGGTTTTGTGACTCTTTTTGTATCAGCCTTTCCACTTGCACCACTTTTCGCTTTGCTGAATAATATCTTTGAAATTCGGGTTGATGCATACAAATACGTGGTTGCCACTCGGCGGCCCATGCCGGAACGAGCACGTGATATTGGTATTTGGCTGCCTATTTTAAGCATGATTAGCAGAGCAGCGGTTCTGGTTAATGTAAGCTTCATTTTCACCTTCAGTAAATATATCAATATGAAATCTAAAAGATACTGTCGAAAAGACGTCAATTACATTAACACATTTAAATAAAAATTCAGTAAAAATTTTCTGCTGAATTTTACTGTGTAATTTTCTGTTTGAAGGCTTGTATCATAGCATTTACGAGTGATTTTATACCCCGTTTTGTTTATCGGTTTGTGTATATGCATGATGAATTGTACGGATATGTGAACAACTCACTCTCCTTTTATGATTCATCTAGAATTTTTGTGATGTGGAGCGAATTCAAGGATGATAACATTACTGTTTGTAGGTTAGTTTACAAAATCGAGATAGCATTTCTTTACATGATAAGCTTTCCATTCACTAAACAAAATGGTCATGCATGGTTGCTTTTGAATAATAAAAAATAAAGTAAGAGTAACATCTTTTTACTTGCAAAGTTCTGGAGAAATAAAAATAATTATTCCTTGGACAGCGTATGAATCGTTCCTATCGTAGTTTGGTAAATATAAAAAATAAAATTCTGTCCATCTCGCTAATTATATTAGGAATTTTATTTGTTTTATTACTAGAAGCCAGAGGCTATAAAATTTTGCAACATCAGATTCCGTGACTACAGAAAGCCACCTTGTACTATCGACCCATTGGAAGGCTGTGATAACGACTATGGTTTCACTATGCAATGGTGGATTGTTTTTACTTTTCGTTTAGCATTTATTCTCATTTTCGAGGCAAGTTATTCATTTGATGTAACAAATTACGCCATAATTTGATAATGCGGATGTTTCATCCTTCATGCCTTTAAGAAAAAATCCCATTTACTTCCACTTGAAGTCCTGTTACTCTTAAAAAATATAAGTTAATAATATGTTCTCGGTACAAACATTAGTTTAGCGTTTGATTAGGAAGCAGGTAATGAGCTAACTGAATCCATTTATTTGGAAGATTCACTGTTATGTTTGCTTATGGCAGCAGCTTTATTGGAATAGTTTATGGAACAGCGTAATTGAGGTAGTGAAGTAATTGAAAGATAGAGACGTTGTCAAAAGAATAGAGTGTGGAGGCGAATAAAATTCTAAAATTCTAATTAATAACTACCCACTGTAAAATGAGTATTAATTGTTTTGAGAATTGCAAATTAATTTTGAATCTTCTATAATCTTTTTTTATAGCATTAATCTGAAGAGCCTCATTTTAAATATTCCAACACTTCATCTTTTTGATGACAGTTCTTTTTAAGTTTTTTTCAGCAGTTCATAACATTCAATGCAAAACTGACTGGTTTTCAATTTGGCATACTTTTAGATGTGACCGAATTCAAATCACTTGTCGTTATATCTATATTCTCTATGAATAATATTTTTTTTAAGCATTTAGTGGCAATGGTCAAAGGTGCGGTTGCCTATGTGATACCTGATATTCCAGCGAACATTTTCATTCAACTTCAACGACAGCGTTTCCTTGCACGACAAGCTAGGATTTCAGACATTACCTCAGCAGTCAGCGCTCGAAATGACTTAGAGAGCAATCAAGATAATACAGAAAAAAGGTATGCTGTTAATTTTTATTTATTTCGTTCGTGAAGCAGAGTGTTTTTGGTCAGTTTGTATGACGAAAGTTTTTTCTACTAACTGCAGTTAGAGGCATTATTTTAAAAGAAAATGATTCAATATTCATAGCTCGTTAAATGATGAAGAAAAAAGTGGCAGTTTATCTAAGCATTTGTTTTTCGATTAACTGTTTCTTATTTAAATATTTTCAGTGAGGTGGATTCTATGGATAATAAACTGGTATTTCAACCAGGACAATTCAACAACGAGGAGGCATCGGCCGAGTTAGAAATGATTATGAAAAGTAATTTTCACAAACGAGCGCACTCTCTTCTCTCTCTTCAAAGTCACGGAAGTGATAGTTTTCATACATGTCGAAGTTTAGCAGATTCAGATGGACTTTAGATTCAGATGGACTTTAGATTCAGATGGACTTTAGATTCAGATGGTTTTAACTACTTATCAAAATATTTTTTGAGAAATGTTTTCTTTACACTAAGAAAGTACTGATTTCTCGAATTAAGAAAGTAATCTTTTATGCTATATTAAGAGTTCACTTTCAGAAAACAGCTATAGAACTTATTTAAAAGATTTTTGTTTTTAATCCAGGATAACTGTTAGAAATTCATTAAACTTTTTCATATTAAACCTTTTTTGATAGGTTTGAAGCTTCTTTACTTTTTAATACTGATCATGCAATATATTGATGTATTTTGTTATTTTTTTTTAATATTTTCGTTTTGCTGTTTTGCTCACTTTGTTCTTTTTCGTTTGTCGTGTCTTTTCTTTGTCTGTTCACCTCATCCATAATTAGTCTGTTGAAAATAAACATAATAATTGATACACTTTATCGCTTTTTTTCTTATCATATTATTTGGTTCACATAAATAAATTATGATGTCATCACTAGTTCGTAATGATAACACCGTAATTTGCATAATTTTTATTTTCATTTTTTCGTCATCTACAAGGTAATTATTCGATAGCAAATTTTAGTTTTAATTTTTCCATTTTATTATGTCAAAAAATTTGTTCAAATCATCGTGCTTTAGCGCAGATATTGTGGCTTTTTCATTAATGGGGTCATCATGATATAATGCTTATTTAAGCTTCTATGAAAGGGTGACTTCATATTATTTTACAATTGTTACTTATTAAGATATAAATGCACGAAGATTGTTGTCTCTGCATTTCACTTAAAGTGATTTTTAAACTATCAACGTTAATTGTTAAAGAGAAGAAAAAATATATCCCAAATGATATAGTGTTTAAAAATATCTGTACAAAATTGAAATGGAACTGCACGCTGCACATCATCTGCGGTTTGATGGATTGATGTATCAAATTGATCATTCCTCGATTGGAAGTCTGATTTTGTCGATGCACTGAGTTCAATAGCTAAACATATATTAGTGTTTGTACTGTTCAGATGCTTAGTTATACAGTTCTATCAGAATCATTTCGAAAATTTATCGTTTTTTTTTTGTCTTTAATACTCTGAAATGACTACTGAGGTGATCATTTTCGGAAAGTGACCAAATTTTATTCGAATAAATCGACGCTATTGTCCTTCTACAACTGGTCCATTTACATTTTACTTGCATTTTAATTGAACAATTTTGTGAATTTAGAAATTACCTAATTGAATCTATTTGATTGGTGTAAATGGCAGGAATGTTTCGAAATGCTGATAATTATTTTCCAATTTTCATCCATACGTTGTTAACTTTATCATTAAAATTTTGCTCTGTCGATTTTGATCTTATGTTACCAACCCAATTATATGATGTTCAAATAATGCTATGCGAAATATTTTGTTTTAAAAATTAAGCCTAACAACTGTGCATGTTTGTTACTTTTGTCATAAAATAAATTACGCAAAAAAATTCAGACAAAGTCGATTGTTGACGATGCCAATTACTACTGTTTGATGACAGATAATACATTTAGAAAGGTTAAATTTTACTTCATTCTTTATTATACATCAATAAATTTTTTGTGAGATTTTTATTTGTCAGTGATAAAATGTTAAAAAAAAAGCTATTACTGAATAAGACAGTTAAGATTGAACACTATTTGATCTCTGCAGATAACGAACATTTGCAATCATTCAGACAAAAATAATCAATGTTTTAATCACTTGCAATTATTGAAGTAGTAATCAGTGCTACTATAACGCTTCTGATATTAATACTTTCAATCAAGTTGAGTGAAAAAGTGAATGCCGACAGTATACGTGGGATACAAACAAATGTGGATACATATTTGTTGAACCGAGTGAGTATTTTCCGGAGAACAAATACGTGTAATCTACGTGTCGTATTGTAAACTTGACGAATGAACTGCCATTCCAATTAAATGATTGAAAATTTTTGAGCCGTCAAATTATTTGCAATGTTGCAGTAATCATATTTGAAATGCCAATTAAATAACAATAAATTGAGAAGTACTGAATTATTTATTTATCGTATTTGATTGAAGATTTGAACATTTTAAAAAGACCGATATATTGAACATCAAATATTGTCTCTTCTTGTTTCCCTATACTTTTATGCATATCTGTGTGTGGATATATGAATAGATAGATCAATAGATAGGTAGATAGATAAATAAATACACTTATAGATTCTGTGACAATTGATGATTTAAACGACTTGAGCCACTTCAACCGCACGCATCCATCCACTTACCTGACACATCCACCGTTTCCCTTCTTTGTTTCGTCTGTATACTTCGATCAAGTATCTGTAATGTAATGCTAATCATAAATTATTATTCATGGAGAGTGATTTGGATTAAGTATCCTCTAAAAAGGTGCGAAAAACAGCATGATATGTTTGCTTTAGTAAAAAGAAAAAATAAAAGACAGGTATGTAAACAATGATATTTGCATCATTACCGTCTGGAATATCTTTTGGAAGATAGTATCAAAATTAAAAACTTAATCACGTCATACTTTTAAGCCACTTCATTTCTTCAATGATTTCTTTGTTAATTCAAATAATTGGACATAAAGGAACGATTAGACTGTTCGGTGTCATCTAATATCGAAAAGAAAAGTGTTTAACCTTTGGTGTAACATTTTCGGTCTTTCTCAGATTATCTATGTTTTCATACAGTTGGAATTATTTTATGGTTCCTGTCAATAATCCATTACATTGTTACTTGTTTATTACACTGAATTTTTAACTGGCTTATGTTCAGCATATTGACATCCTTTCATGTCTTCATATAACCTAATTATACGACATTTGCATTTCCTGACAAAATATCTAAACAAGTCAGCGATGGTGTGGAACAGAACTTCAGAACTTGACGGATGCAGTTTGATTTCATTTCAAAACACTATTGGATATATGCACTTGGAAAGTTTTCTCATCTGTATTTAAAACCGTAGCTTCATCTCATTAGTCATTTTTATTATCATTTAATAGTAAATGAATTAATTTGAAATTTGATGTATCATTTAGAATCACAGTAAATTATCATACACTTTTCAAATATACAAAGTTAAAAATTAAAAATTATGTAAGTCAAAATTAATAGTGAACATATCAGGAGGAAGAGTGCTAAAATTTCATTTGTATTAATCAATAATTTATAATAGATGAAAATATTGTAATTGTAAAAAAAGTTTGATTTTCCAACAATCATCATAATTCATCATTATGTCCGGTATTTGTTAACATAAAGTTTCCATCTTCCCAGATCACTCTCAGTGAAATATTTATGAGTGCACCAACACTATTGTTCAATTTTTCATACTCCATTGATACGATCGAGCCAGTTTGTCAATCAGTCAATCATTTCGAAGATTTATTTTTCCCTTTTCTACGTGTGTGTGTGTGTGTGTGTGTGTGTGTCTGTGTGTCGTACAGCTTATTCATCTTCAGAACGAGCAATTGAGTACTTTTCACAGTTGACAATGGGAAAAGTATTTTCAAAGCTCGACAAACCAAAGTGTTGATTCTATTTGCAATATTATCATTATATTTCAATGCAACGATGAGACACTCACTGCTGCATTCCTTATTAGCTATGGGAATTTTATATAAATAATGAAGCAACAATATTGTAGTAATGAATGGATGACAAAAAGATGATAATAACAATGATGGATCGAACAATAACTATGACAATGTTTATACTTCTTTTTTCTCTCCCTTTCTTATGAGCCAGAGGTATAAAGTCTGATGATTTGTCATGCATTTGGAATATATATCTCAGAATACTTTTTTTTTAAATACCATAAAGTTTATAGTCTGATAGTATATGATCTGAAAGCATATGCTTTGTACAAAATGATTTATGCCTAAAAGTTTTTTCTAAATGAAATATCATTCTAAATAGAGAATTTGCAGTTTTTTGAATGAAAATATAATGATTAACTGAATAGTTTTTCTTCAATTTCAATTTTTTTTATTTGTTAGCTCATTGAATTTCTAAGCTATTCTTTGATCTTCTAAAAATATGAGGTAAAAAAGAACCAATCAACAACAAATTTCAACGGCTTTTTATTGAAAAAATCATTTAGCTATTAAAATTTACAATAATAAGATACGGATTAATATCTTATCATTTTCTGCTTAAAAGAATTCATTTCTTGAAACCCATCCAATTTTGATTATTTCACTACCACGCCTCTCTCTTACTCCAAGCAAATATATAAATTGTAGCTTGAATATATTCCAAACTGTTCATTACAATCAATATCTTTTGTTAAGTCGTGTGTTGTCAGAAATTTTTTTGAGCAAAGAATAAATTTTGAAATAAGACCAATCATTTTCTCTTTTATTCAAATATTGCATTTTGTCTTTGCTTGATCTTTATTATTAATTTGAAAGAAAAAAAAGTTTTCAACCTTTGCTTAACGAATACTTGTTGCAAATTTAAAACGAATAAACAACTTTCATTAGTATATAATTTAAAATTAAATTAATGAAAAGTATATAAATGAACAAAAAAATAAATGAATAAATGGGAAAGAAAATAAATGTAGCAGTGGAAAGGTGGAAGAGATTGGTAAATTAAACCTATATAGTCAGGATATAATTAATTAGTATTTTGATGGCACATCAAATAGTAATTCAGGAAAGACGATAAATGTACAAAGCCAATGTGCATTGAGAGTGATGCTGATCGTTTTATGAAAAATTCATCACATTGACAGCAGGTACTGGGATATGGCATTGAAGCATTTTAGCTTTCAGTCAAGTCAAGTCAGTTGTACGAGCACACTAAGCTATTGCTGGCTGAATTAACCCATGGTTTAGCCTTAATCTAAGGAGTCATCCACATCATTATATCATCATCATTTTACCTATTCTCGATGAACAATGCATGCGTGATCAACTTACTCCATTCTCCAGATAAATTATTTCAACACACACACACACACACACACA